CAGCAGCGAAGGGTCCAGCAGTGGGATGCGGGTTGCAGAGCACTGCTGACTGACGGCGCTCGGGTTGGGAACGATCGTCAGCTGTTCCAGGTCGCCCTGAGTGAGACGGAGAGACACAGAGGTGTGGCAGATGATGAGATATACCAGTAGAGGGGGAGAACGGACCTGCCACTTGCTGTACCCGCGGCCGCCGGCGTCACTTACCATGAACAGGTAGCCGATGACGATGTCTGCGTCCGCCGGTGTGTCCAGGGAGTTCCTCCTGAGGATGTCAGTGCCCACCCACCCGCAATCCAGGAAGCTGCTTACCGAGCTGTCGCCATGAAGCCTGGAACATTGCCCAAGAAAAAGTTTTGTGACCAATCGGCTTATGCTACCGAATGATACAGAAATCTTAACCCTCGGCAACACCTAGCAACTTTTGATCTGAGGAGTACTCCGTTTTCAACACCAGAAAGCAAATTCCCGTGGCCAGCGTAAAGGATCGACGGAAGGTGGAGTACACAGAGTACACACAGTATTCAAACTTGCACGTAATAACAACGAAAACACACAATAATTACAATGATCAATATGAACTACCGGTCCATCCAAACAAGAATGAAGACAAAAAAAGGCCTTTGGTCCGTGTCTTTAGGTTGACTGAGCCATAAGTCGCTTTTGCTTTGCATCGTTAGACGCTGACAACGCAGAAGAAAGTTTTTGATAAGAAACCTGTGGGCTATGACGTAACGAGGCTGTGCGTATTTCGATAAGACGAGCTCCGTCCAAAGAAACAGGTGCAGTCAGATTCCTCGTCAGCGCGAAGGAGGGTTTGCAATAACGTATTGATCTAGACGAAAATTAAATCCACTCGCGTTTAATAAAAACGTCCAACAGAGAACTTCACTCAACTGCCTTCAGGAGAATACTAACTTTGCAGATGAAAAACTTGGATTAGTGCACAGACACTACCTCTTCATTACGCCTTCATTTCAAGCGCTCTGTATCTATGGCAACGGGACTCTCCGTTCTTCGAAATCTATCGTTTATTGGCCCGAATCTTAAAGAGAACGAAGCCAGGCGGAGAAGTTATTCTGACCGGAAGTGACCGGTGTTAACGAGATGTCGCTCTTTTGTAACACGCAAAGTGTTAAAGCCGGATTTGATCGGTTCTAACGGTCAGCGCGTTGCATTGGCCCTACTACAGTTTCGAATGAGTTTGTGGTTCTAGAGGAAGACTAATGCACTGCATGTGTTGAAATTGGTTTATCGATTTGATTACGCGGTTGGCCATGGATTGGAATATAAACTACGAATTCTTTTTTTTTTTTTTTTTTTTGTTTTTCGCACAGCGATGTGCGTAATCAACGGCGGTGATTCAGAACAGCTTCGAGCTGTTCCGTCTACACGGAAAAGCGCGTGGCTTTGTCATTTCCCTGCTTTAGTCGACTTCATTAATTCCGTGTCCTGTTATACAATTACAGGCCTTCTGTCCCGTGGCGGGTCTCAGGTTCGGCTCCCGGTTGCAGTGATCTGGCTCAGAGGACAGCTCCGGAGTTCTTGTCAAGAAGCAACCCTTGTGACAAGGGATGAAGCGGTGGAGTCTCACTCGAAACGACGTCGGTGTAACAGCCGGCTACACTTCCACTGTGGAGTTTTTTTTTCCACTGCTGTTAATTAACAGTACGGTCCTGGAATTCTGAGAAGCTGATAGTTGTTCAGATAGTCAAGAGATTTATTGCCTTTAAGTAAATGCCGAGTTCGCAAAAGCGCACCTTACTCTGTCGGCAGCCAGCTGAATCCAGTCGTCGCCCACCAAGGCATTTTAAAATGACCTTCAGATCTACGTCTGCGTCTCACAAGTTGCCTCCTTCCTTGACATCTCCCTACCCAAATTCTGCATTTCAGAATTCAAAGACCAATGCGTATTCCAAGTCTCTCGTGCACCCTAGAGCCATTTCTTTCTTTCTTTCTTTCTTTTCAGAAGTGCTAACGGAGTTTGCAAAGAACTGTTGGCTCCTGTCATACTCACAGACTCTGCAAGTAAAAACAAAACATCTGAACGTAGTTTAAAATTCAGAACGGCGTAGCGTTGCTATGGCAACGGCGGGAGACAGCGGAACAACGCCGGCCGCTACCCAACCCAGTGTCCGTCCGTCCGTACGCATCCTTTGTGTTTTGCCGAACGCGAGATGACGCAGACTGGGAGCAACAGCCAGATGAATCCAATCAGCACCTTCCGACCGTATTTCCCTGCGATCCATGTCAATACTGCCCCGCCAAGCACGCCTACGTGTTCTGAGCGTGCGCCGTTCGTCTGTCCTCGGCCACGTTGTGACGACATGAGGCAGAGAGAGGAGTAGAAATTGGTTTCAGCTGTCGACAGAGCTGAAAATCTTTTGCTGTTGCTGCTTTTGAATTCCTATTTCCAACCCCCCGCATGCCACGACAGCGACCTGAGCCTCTCCGATGAGAGTGAAAAATGATTCTGTTGGGCGCGGGAGGAAAAATCCATACAGCGTGACGCGAGGCAAAACGCCTGAGCTACACAGCGAATATCTAACTCAGAGGACGAGGGAGACGGACGTTTCAGGTCCCTTTTGATACAACTGTCCCACTCTGTGAGGATGCGGACTGGACTCAGCTGGCTCAACATGGGGACTATTCGCTTGTCTTCATCAAATCTCGGGGGTATCTTGGTTAACTTAGCAACTATCAGCTTCTGAATACATATTCCTCTGCATGGAGCCTTTACAGCGAAGATGGTGGCTGATGGTAGCAAATACTTCCCTCTCACTGTTCTTTCAGCTCAGTGACCATTACTTCTTGTTTGTTTGTTTGTTTGTTTCCTCCGCTCAACTGTTACCAAGCCCCCCGCGGGTCACTCCAGCGGAACACGCAAGCGAACACACCCATCGGGAGATCGAACTGCGGTTACTTCAGGGGCGACCTGGACGATAGGCGGAAGCCTTAAACCGAAAACAGAGGAGGGGGAGGGGGGGAAGAGACCTTCGACCGGACACAGACAAATTATTCCTCTTTTATTCCGTGAAGAACATTTTCTGCACGCGCTCTGGTGAGAAATGGCGCAGATTTCGGTCTCCCTTTCAACTGATACACTCGCGTTCTGCAGAATGTACTTCTAAATTGCAAGAAACACATCGTCAATCTGCGCTCTGCTCCTCATCGGGGGCAAACGTTTCGCACGCTTTCAACGGCGTCTTCTGTAACACGACGCGTTTTAAATTAGACGCCACGTTCTCAAGATGCTGGGTCGTTGCGTCGTGCAGCCTGCTGGATCGTGAAGGACATTTTAGAGGTGCCTGCTGCCTCCATCATCACGACAAAGGCTATATTATGTGCCTCAGTCTAATCATTACACAAATGCAAGGCGAGCTGAATTGGGTCGCGACGAGTAACGCCCTCGCCACACAGACAACTCACCCTACAGCCAGCTGATGCCAATCGCCGTCCCCCAGAGGCGCGGGAATGTCCACGGTCTGCGTGCCATTGTGGCCCGCGTGCACCAATTTGACGCGGTCAGGGCCGGCGAGCTCCAGGGACAGGTACGTGTCCTGCTGGCGTCGGGATCGGAGGCTGAACACCGTCCCTTGAGCCAGCCCCTGAAACCAGAGATGAACAGCTTAATGGATCCGCGCTTCAGTCGTCCCACGCGACTGCACGAACCAACCGGCGGCTTCTGTGAGTGGATTTCGGGATGATTTGCATTTTAAATGTTTTTGTCTTTTTGCTGGTTGCTTTAACGGGGAAAAACACGGAAAGGAGACAATCAAGTTCGTACAACATACTTGATGTATAACAGAAACATTTTAATATTATACAGATTGGCGTGAGACAAATAATAAAACAATATTTGTGGCCGCCGACACAACCTCGCAGTTGTCCCGAACTGCTTTTCGCCTTCCGTCCGTCTCGCAGACAACAGCCGCCCCGCACACCGGAAATTCATACTTCAACAGCTTAGGCTCTTAATGCTAAGCAGATTACGTTACTCAGCTCCTTCCTCATTCGAGGCCGCTGCCTGATCTTCGTCTCGTGCCACGGAACAGCGGGTACAAGCCGCTCCAAGAGCACTTGCACAGCGTCTGCTCAGGGCGCCAACTGCGAAGGACTGAATTAACCAAGACGTATGGGGGAGTGGAGGCATAGCTCGACATATTCTTGTCCTCGGCGGTTGCTTTAACGGCGCTGGGTTTGTACAGGAATGATCAAACTGCAAGGCCTTCTTGGAGAACGGAGTTCGTCAAGGCCGACAGCAGACGAGCTCGTGGACGCCCTACAACGTGTGTACACAGTATATAGCATACAGTACAGTCTCTGCTGGCTGCAAAGTCTTCCGCCGGGGGTAAAGATGCCACAGCGTGAAGCTGTGCAGTGACTTGAATATAAAGTCAAGTCACTAATAGGTGGAGCCTTGCCCCCAGTTCCCCTCTGTGGCGGAAGTCGTAAGGAAAATTAAGATTCTTGAAGAGACCAGCTGTTGTTCCCCTCGCTTACACCATCAACTGGGGGGGGGGGGGGAATCTCCCGATGCTCTCGAATTACAAATCCTTGCTACTCCAACGAAAGGCCAAAATTGACTTCCACGAAGCTAGCAATAAGCTCTCGAGTTTCCTCGTTCATTTCGCGGCGCTGAACGATGTTGCAAGTGGCCCTAATGCAGTCTGCGGGTGGCTTAAAAGAGGTTTTTTTGGAAGTCTTAGGAGAGCCTTCGCCGGCAACACTCCGTGCATATTATTCCTCTCCAGTTCGTTGCGGAAAGCGCGGTAAATCTACCTGGGGAAGCTACTGGCGCGACGGATACATCGCCTCCCCCCCCACCGACTCCTTCCCAATGCGTTATAATGGGGTCTGCGAGGAGGAACTCCTCTCTCTTCAGCTTCAGGGGTCCCAGAGACCACCAGCTTGTTATTTCAGGACTGTCTTGCCTTATTCCCATATCACGTTACTTTCTGGGACGCCACGCCATTTCTGTGCATTCATCCACACATTTTACCGAGGGTTGCAATAAAAGAAACTATTCATCTGCGCTGTCCAGTGCTTCACGTCCTACGACGGACTCTTCAACAGTTTCAGTAGCACTCACGAGATATGCCGCTTATAAGCAATAACCTTAAACTGGACGTCTTTCATATTTGGGAGGATCCCACCTCTCAACAGTTTACCATTTGTGGCTTGTGAGCAGTAAAAAATATTTTACCAAGGAAATACACTAATCAGCGTGGAAAAGGTTTATAATCACTCGTCATTAGGAACGAGGCGCCTCAGAATGTTCTATGACGTAATTTACCTGACATCCTTCGAAGCCACAAGCTCGTCCAAAGATTATTCACGAATTCAGTCCGTACCGCGAAGAAAACACAAAGCTTCACCATTACAAAGATCAACTGGTTAACCTTGTTTAAGGAAATAATACGACTAAAACGCTAATTAACCTTTGGAGCCGAAGCTCTTTCAAATGAAACTTAAGAATCCAGTCCGTACCGCGAAGAAAACACTGCACTTCACCGTCACAAGGATCAGCTGATTAACGTTGATTAAGGAAATAATCGCTGTTTATCGTAAGAAAAGTAAAATGCTGGTTCTTGAAGCAGACGCGACACACAATTACCACTCGAGTTTCAAGGGTTTTATTCGAACTGTCTGCACATTACACGACGTTCGTGGAACGGCTGGAATATCACAGACTTAATTTATTTGATTAAGTTGGGCGTCGGGAGTCTGCACTAGTTTATGTCGGATGAATTTATCTCGCTTCGTTCCGGTCGACTATAATCCATACTCTACACGAAGTTCAGATTGGTCTTTGCAAATTTTCTCAAATGTGCGTAGTAGAATATTGACATCGCCAAGGGACACAAAATGAAGATCTCGCCAACTTATAAAACTATTTCACGTATTTTTCATCGTTACGTCTACATGTAACAAATCGAACAGAAAACAATGATTTGTGTGAGGTCACACACACTGAACTATGGGAAACTTGCGAGAATCCCCACTCCACAACATGCGGGACAGAAGCTGGGGGCCTGAGTCCTATGAAAACAGAATTTCCTTGTGTCTCCGGAAAATCTCTTTGCTAGAGAACTGATAAAAAAGAGTCTCTCAGAAATACGTATTGCAGAAAAACCTGTTAGCTACTTTTATCCGCATCCAGTTCGTCTGTCGTGTGATCTGGCTTATGGTATCTTGTCTCGTATCAAAGTTTCTGCCGTTTCTATTTCCCGGTCGCCGCGTCCTATTCTCTCTCTACTTTATCCTATTCGGGACGACGAGGACGAACCCTCCTTTGCACAGGGCTCAACTCCTCCTGCATGAAAATACCAGTCTCGTTACGTCGCGAGCCGCGCGGTTTCGCCCCACTGGCAGACTTCGACTCGTCGGCCCAGTCCTGTGACCACTGCAACGACTGTCAGCTTGCACCCACTGAGAGAATACAGCAGAGTTACTGTCTCCTGCATTTATGTTAGTTTTTTTGGAAGTCTTAGGAGAGCCTTCGCCGGCAACACTCCGTGCATATTATTCCTCTCCAGTTCGTTGCGGAAAGCGCGGTAAATCTACCTGGGGAAGCTACTGGCGCGACGGATACATCGCCTCCCCCCCCACCGACTCCTTCCCAATGCGTTATAATGGGGTCTGCGAGGAGGAACTCCTCTCTCTTCAGCTTCAGGGGTCCCAGAGACCACCAGCTTGTTATTTCAGGACTGTCTTGCCTTATTCCCATATCACGTTACTTTCTGGGACGCCACGCCATTTCTGTGCATTCATCCACACATTTTACCGAGGGTTGCAATAAAAGAAACTATTCATCTGCGCTGTCCAGTGCTTCACGTCCTACGACGGACTCTTCAACAGTTTCAGTAGCACTCACGAGATATGCCGCTTATAAGCAATAACCTTAAACTGGACGTCTTTCATATTTGGGAGGATCCCACCTCTCAACAGTTTACCATTTGTGGCTTGTGAGCAGTAAAAAATATTTTACCAAGGAAATACACTAATCAGCGTGGAAAAGGTTTATAATCACTCGTCATTAGGAACGAGGCGCCTCAGAATGTTCTATGACGTAATTTACCTGACATCCTTCGAAGCCACAAGCTCGTCCAAAGATTATTCACGAATTCAGTCCGTACCGCGAAGAAAACACTACACTTCACCATTACAGAGATCAACTGGTTAACCTTGTTTAAGGAAATAATACGACTAAAACGCTAATTAACCTTTGGAGCCGAAGCTCTTTCAAATGAAACTTAAGAATTCAGTCCGTACCGCGAAGAAAACACAACACTTCAGCATTACAAAGATCAACTGGTTAACCTTGTTTAAGGAAATAATACGACTAAAACGCTAATTAACCTTTGGAGCCGAAGCTCTTTCAAATGAAACTTAAGAATCCAGTCCGTACCGCGAAGAAAACACTGCACTTCACCGTCACAAGGATCAGCTGATTAACGTTGATTAAGGAAATAATCGCTGTTTATCGTAAGAAAAGTAAAATGCTGGTTCTTGAAGCAGACGCGACACACAATTACCACTCGAGTTTCAAGGGTTTTATTCGAACTGTCTGCACATTACACGACGTTCGTGGAACGGCTGGAATATCACAGACTTAATTTATTTGATTAAGTTGGGCGTCGGGAGTCTGCACTAGTTTATGTCGGATGAATTTATCTCGCTTCGTTCCGGTCGACTATAATCCATACTCTACACGAAGTTCAGATTGGTCTTTGCAAATTTTCTCAAATGTGCGTAGTAGAATATTGACATCGCCAAGGGACACAAAATGAAGATCTCGCCAACTTATAAAACTATTTCACGTATTTTTCATCGTTACGTCTACATGTAACAAATCGAACAGAAAACAATGATTTGTGTGAGGTCACACACACTGAACTATGGGAAACTTGCGAGAATCCCCACTCCACAACATGCGGGACAGAAGCTGGGGGCCTGAGTCCTATGAAAACAGAATTTCCTTGTGTCTCCGGAAAATCTCTTTGCTAGAGAACTGATAAAAAAGAGTCTCTCAGAAATACGTATTGCAGAAAAACCTGTTAGCTACTTTTATCCGCATCCAGTTCGTCTGTCGTGTGATCTGGCTTATGGTATCTTGTCTCGTATCAAAGTTTCTGCCGTTTCTATTTCCCGGTCGCCGCGTCCTATTCTCTCTCTACTTTATCCTATTCGGGACGACGAGGACGAACCCTCCTTTGCACAGGGCTCAACTCCTCCTGCATGAAAATACCAGTCTCGTTACGTCGCGAGCCGCGCGGTTTCGCCCCACTGGCAGACTTCGACTCGTCGGCCCAGTCCTGTGACCACTGCAACGACTGTCAGCTTGCACCCACTGAGAGAATACAGCAGAGTTACTGTCTCCTGCATTTATGTTAATTGTTTAGATCAACGAACACGCGAGCAAGGAATAAAAATGTATGTATTAGCAACGACTGCCTACGAGAATGCAGTCTTTTGTTACGTGCAAATTACATTAAAGTAAATTTCTCAACCCAAGGTCTCAACCTTCAAATCCAACAAGATAACGCGCATTATAAAACATTACAGCGTGGTGATATAAGAGGCTCTGAACTACCAGTTTTATTTT